CAACGGCTAGAGATATTCTGATAGATCAAATAAAAAGGGCAACAAGGCAAATTCGCCGAAAAGAGAATAATTTGCATTAGGATTTAGTCCATGAGCAACGAAGGCGTTATGATGCTGAAGCAGAAAGGAATAATGAAATTATACGAAGGCAACTTGCTGAAGGGGTGGAACAAAGGACTATTGCTGACCTTTATCAGTTGTGGACCAATGACCGAAATCAGGTTAACAGAATGTTAGATAGGATAACAAGAAAGCAAAACCGTATATGTGTACTGGTACAAGAAAAATTTGCCTTACAATTATTGTATCAGCAAAATGCTCACCACCTGCAACGAAGTAGAGGAGACATAGGTTTATTAGAATATAATCGAGATAGACTCTATCAGCGATATGAGAAATGGAAGGCTAAAGAAAAAAATTCTCGCCAGAATATTTTAAATTTACAAGGGCAAATTTTAGCGCTACAGAATAATCCATTTAATCAAGTAAACATGGCAGGAATACCTCATCCATGGTTTGACTGGGGCAATAGTATCCCAGACTTTCTTGCACAACTTAGACAAGACTTGCATAATCGGGGTATAGATCCGGCAGGAGCAGGTGCTAATGGAAGAGCTCAGGCAAAAGGATATTTAAGAAGCTGTATGAGAGGAAGGACCCTAGAATGGTTTGATGAAGAGATTACTACAAAAACAAATTGGGAATTAACTAACCTAACTGATGGCACAGGACAAGCTAATTTGGTAGCTGTAAATGGACGTACAGCTCTCCAAATAGGTGCTGATGGTTTAAATGAGGCGCTCGGACAACCTGGAAATGCAATAGTCAAATTAAGAGCTGTAGAAGATCCTTGGAATGAGGACTGGCGTATAGCAGGCGGTCGTCCTACTAATGATCCTGTTAATCTACCAAATGCTGGTAATGGAACTACGGTAGTTGTAGCAGACATTCGATTTGGTCAAGCCGTATGGTGGCTAAAAACTCATTTCCCTACAGTAGAAGAGGAGCTTCGGGATATGATGTATGGAACAATCACGAAGGGAGACATGGATATAGATGAATTATATAGAAAAATAGTTCGAATAGGTAAACGAGCTAACTATAGGCCTGAAGAAATACGTAGAAAGTTTTTAGATGCCCTTCCAATCCCATGGCTTGAAAAAGCTGAAGATATAGGTGAACATTTACCATTAGATGAATTAGCTAAAAAGCTTCGTGGAATAGAATTACGACGAATAGCTAGGCATAAAAGAGATAGAATACCTGACCCCCTAATATCTAATCGAGTATCTCGGCAAATATATGAACCTTCACCTGTTCCAGCCCCACAACAGCAAGGAATATCTTTAGAAGATATGCAAAAAGCAATTCAGAACGCATTAGCTCAACAAAAAACTGAATACCA